TCATAACAGCAGCAGCCCTCCAAGGCAGCGTCAGCATTTTCAAACCAAAATGATGTTGATCTTTCAGCTGGAACACACAAGATTTTGAAGCTCATTCAAGTACTCTGCACCAAAATACTCAATTCCTGTCCAGCATCACTTTGTTGCAGTCAATAATATGGGTCTGTAGCCTGTTGAGGCCAAGAAAAACGGCAACAACTTTATCCTCTTTTCTCTGGTTGCCAGTTTTTAACCCAGATGAAAGACTAATGATAATAAGCAACAGCAGTGGGTAAGGAGCCCTTGCAGGTGCCACAAGGTGTGACATTCTCCAAAGCATCCTGACACTTGGTGACAAGAGAGACTGTTGTGATCATGGTCTACAGCACACAAACCACAGAAGTCATTCAGCCATTCCTGCAGTCAGACCACAACCCTTGGGTGACGTAGAAGGTCTAGATTTGAACGGTAGGGACACTGGAATTCATTTTGATTATTTCCCTCAAGCAAGGAGAAAGAATCATAGAATGGTTTGGGTTGGAAGGGACCTTCAAGATCATCTAGTTCCAACCCCGCTGCCATGGGCAGGGACACCTCCCACTAGAGCAGGTTGCTCAAAGCCCCATCCAGCCTGGTCTTGAATGTTTCCAGGGATGGGGCATCCACAACTTCCCTGGGCAACCTGTTCCAGCGCCTCACTGCCCTCACAGTAAAGAATTTCTTTTTAGTATCTAATCTAAATCTCCCCTCTTCCAATTTAAAACCATTACCCCTTGTCCTGTCACTACACTTCCCAACAGAGAGTCCCTCTCCCCAGAGCCTTCTCTTCTTCAGGCTGAACAACCCCAGCTCTCTCAGCCTGTCCTCATAGGGGAGGTGCTCCAGCCCTCTGATCATCTTTGTGGCCCTCTGCTGGATCCTTTCCAACAGATCCATGTCCTTCCTGTGTTGAGGTCTCCAGAGCTGGACAGAGTACTCCAGGTGGGGTCTCACGAGCACAGAGTAGAGGGGCACCTGTGACCTGCTTCAGAGGGGCACCTGTGGCCACACTTCTCTTGATGCAGCCCAGGATGAGGTTGGCTTTCTGGGCTGCCAGTGCACACTGCCAGCTCATGTTGAGCTTCTCATCCAACACCCCTAATTCCTTCTCCTCAGGGCTGCAAAGAACTACCATCATGTGCCATTTTAAAGGTAGAGCCTACAAGAAGAATCTCAGAGGACTCAGAGGACTCTGCCTGTGATAAATAAATCTCCTTTCTCTGAAGACAGACAAGTGCAGCCTCCAAGTTTGTCCCTGTAAGAATTTGACACCCAGCACAAAAATCAGTATTTCTGGTCCCAGTTAATCCAGTAGAGGTAGACTCTGCCATGGGGGATATGTATGTTTTCAGCATACAGTGCTCCTTGTCTGCTCAGTCTTTGCTTTGGCCTTTGAACCTCACTTGTAATTCCCAACTTAGCTCTTGACCCTTATTCACAGACTTCTGATTTGACCTTTGCTAGTTTTTTTCCTCCTAATCCTGACCTGCTTGTCTTACATTGCTTAAAACTTATCTCATCTGCTATCCCAGAATCTTCTCTGCAGTTTATAGTTCCTAATCTTGTGGTTAAGCCTCTGAGAAACTTCTTGATCAGACCTGCTGGATAAGTGCAACCTATTTCCCAGATTCTAATTAATTGCAATACCTTCACCCCATCTCCAAGCCTGACTCCAGCTTGACTCTTGTCAGGGGGCCTGATTACCTATATCCTACTGTGTGCATTTTACCTCCCTGGGCAGAGGAACATGGCAGAGTAGCTCCTGAGTCATCTGTGATGACTACCAGCCTACATTAATTGCTAAGCCACTTCACATCTTCCACATCAAAAGTTCCCCCCCTTTTAGGAAGATTTTGGGGCTGAAATTGTTTTAATTTCTTCTCACTTTTCTGTACTTAAGCATTTGAATCCACTAGAGGCCCTGAACTATAAGAAGATATCCTGGATTCACCTTGCACACTCCAAGTAAAAGATATCTTTTTCTATGTTTTATTAAAAAAAGCATTTCTCACTCTGGCAATGGACAGCCTTAGCCCAGGGCAGTGCTAACCATTCACACATCAAGTCTCATGTTACCCTTCCAGTCTCATCATATGTTTTGTGATACTCTCCTACATTACCTTGTCTGTCCTTCCTACTGCCACCCTGATCTTCATAGTCTAACAAGGGTGTTGACCAAGAGAGGATTCTTACGGGGTTACTGGTCCCATCTTACACAGCATATTGTCCCTGTCACACAGCTGAATGTTTGGCAATATTACAGAGTGGCTGAACACCAAGCAGCCACAAGGACATTGCCCTTCCTTTTGTCTGCTTCTCCTGAACTGAAGGTGCCTATTCTCCACCTGAACTACTTCTTCTTGAGCAAGGGAAGCTCAGCCACACTGACGAATGCAGATCCCTTGTCCACACCCTGGATCTGCTGGCTCTTTCCAGTGGCATTGGGTGGAGAAGGTGGGATGCTTCCTGTCTGCATGCCCAAGCTCTTTGGAAGTCTGGATGCTACAGCCCACCCAAACAGTTTAAAGTAGACAACATTGGGGATGAGACTGGTGGAAAAGCATTGTCCTCTTCCATACCATCAAACTGGGAAACAGATCAAAGCTACTCAGGCAAAATTACCTTTAGCTACTATTGATAAAGACGTAACTATTCAGAATAAGTTTCACACACACAAAGTACCCAAAAATAGGTATAAAATGATTCTGACTAATATTAGGAAACCCAATAAGAACAAGCCAGATACCACACACAGATTCTTCACCAGATGCATGAAGATAGACTTTCTCAAAATGGCAGACAAATTTTAATAAGTTCTAGAGCCTATACTAAATCCTTCTTTTAATCATCACCTAATATCTATGAAGCAGTGTGATCCAGAAAGTTGTTGGCCTCTCTAGTAAAGGAAGTAGGTCTGGGTGGATGTTCGTGAACCTAACAGCAAGAAGTTGTGTGTTTTTCCTCCTTACCCATAAAAGACATTCACAGACTGAATTTTTTTCATTTCTTTCTGGGGAAATAATCCAGTCTGTATGCACTGGCACTCTGATAATTCTTTTACTTTCTCCCTCACTTCTCTCCTGACAGACTGCACAAGAAACTAAATAGGTGGAGATTCAATATTTTATTACTTCTATAGCTGTATTCGGAGATGTTTATAAAGAAGGAAATCGACCTCTTCCTGGATACCAATGAACTGTCAACTTCCTCCAGCCAGCTTCTTTGTAACACATGAAAAGTCTGTCTCACAGGCAGGCTTACTAGCGTTGCTCCAGCTATAAAAAGGGAGTAAAAAGAAAGCAAAGGGATTGGATGAGGAGCATGCCTCAAATCCTTCCCTTGAACTCCTCCTCATATGCACCAGAAACAGGTAGGAGCTCAGTATGTGGCACTCGTCTCGGGCTGTGTTCACACTTCTTGGATTTGGGAAGGATCTGAGCAAGGAGAAGGCAGGCAGTGTGTCAGAGCTTCCACCGAAGCAAGGAGGTTTAGACAGGACCCCTCCTGCACATCAAAGTACCCAGAATAAACTGTGCATTGTTCCCAAAGATATAAACAAGAGATTCTTTAGCTTTCACGCAAGCCCTTGCAATTTCAATTCTTTCCTTCACACATGTATCTGGAAATGCTCTTCGCTAAAATATAAATGCCCCGATTCTCTGTATCCCAGCAGGAAACCTGGGACGTCCATTAGCAAAATTGGAGCTTGCCAATACCCTGAAACCCATAACACTGGGTAAAGCACCTGGCCTGACAGTTCCTAGGTTAATTTTTATGCTTTTTTTCCCCCTCCAATAAACCTGCAGGCAACTACATACTTTTCTCAACAAGTCACCAGAGGAGAGTTCTGTCCTCTCTACCTTAAGGGAGGGTTTGATTTCAATGGTTTTCCAAGCTGGGCTGAGATCACAAATCAGACTTGAACTATTGACCCACCTCTTTCAAATTCTGGGAGGTAAGTTAGAGAAATTCATGCCCATTATCAGATATCTGAGCCAGGTGGGGATTCATAATGGCTTAGCTAGCTAAGGTGGTACCTTTAGCGGGATTAGGACACCAAGCCCACTCACAGCTTGGACAAAGGAATAGCTATTGACCAAGGGCAGTAAATATACAGCTCCCGTGATGCGATTCCGAGTTCTCATATATGAGAAAAGGACTTGAAAAAGCCCGTCTGTCCTGCACAGTCAGTTGGCTCAGTGGCCAAAATAGTGTGTCACAGGGGGGTAGATAAAAGCCAGGTTCAGTGAAGCAGGTAGGAGGTTAAAATGGATCACGGGGAAAGAGCCCTGTGTGATACTTATCCCAATGAGTGGTGGTGGTGGGAATTTTGAGTTTTGATCCTGGGAAAAGAGAAGAGGCAGTTGCTGCAGGAAGAAGGCTGAACCTCACCACACTATGGGGGAAAAGGGCTAACAGAGAAGCTCAGGAGGAAAGGGAGCTGTGGATCTGAGCTTAGGTTGCCGATCACTAACAGCTCAACAAAACTTCCAGAAGCTAAAAAGCACCCATGGAACCATTCAACTGCCAGAAACAGCCTTTCTACAGCCAGTAGGAGACAACAATCAGTGAGAGGCATTTTGTATCCCCCACCAGGGAAAGAGAACACATTAATATGGTCATTTTTTCCTGGATTTTCCATGTATTTTGAGTGGCCCTTCTCTCATCATCTCACTGTCCTGCTCCAAAGACTTAAGGAGATCAGTGAGTGCTTTATGCTGGGTTTGGAGTAATGCCAGCAAGGCTGAAAGAAGCTGACAACAGATACCCAAATTTCAGGGCAGTGCTGTTGCCCCTCTGTGGCCCCAGAACTAGCTTCCAGCCCTAAAAGAATAGGAACATAAGAAGGTGGACATGTCTGGACACAGCAATAGAACCTCCCTGGCACAACAACACAGCAATGGGTTGCTACTTACAATCTTTTAGTGCAAGGCTGTTTACACAGAAAAAATAAAATCAATACAAAAGGTAGAATAACTCACCTTGGCTTTTTTCTTCAGCTGCAACACTTTGATTCAGTTCTTCGGCCTGTGGTTTTCCTTCACACCACACCATCCGGAAAGGCTTCTGTGCACGCTCTTTCCAAGCATCTTGCCACAGATATCCTTCAAATATTCAAACATACTAGTCTCAACATTGTTCATCTAACTAGAGTTTACTAATCTACTGGCAAGCAAGCCTACTAAAAAAAAAAATAAAGAAAAAAAAAAAAAAAAACCAAAGAACCACCATAAAGGTATGTCTACACAAATTTTTAATAAGGAAAAATAGCAAAGCTTCAAATAAATTATACTGTAGGTAAACTGGTGCTTGTTGATTTCTGAAGCGTTATTGCTCCTAAAAAAAAAAAAAAAGAAAACCAGAGTACCAGCATACAGGTATTTCAGTTCAAAAAAAACCAACTCCTCCAAAAGCATCAAGTATGGCTGGCTGAGAAAGCATGAGTGAAGCTCAAAACAACTTCAGTGCCCGCCCAGTTCTCAACGACTTCCTTGGTGGAGCTCATTCCACCACCTGCTCTGAATTTAGGGCCTAATGAAGCAGTGCACTGAGCTTGTGCTTCATGGGAAGACTGGCTACTGCCCATTGGCATCAATCAGTATACACACTGAGCTGCCTGCCACAGGCAGATCTCAGGAGGCAGGAGATCTCAGGAGGCAGGAGCTTTTCCCCTACCAGCAGGCCAAGCTCACCAATGGGCTTGGCTGTCTAGCATGAAGCCATGCCTGCCTGAAAGGCCTGAAAGAGCCTTTGCCCTCGCTCTCCTGCCGTCAATGTTGTTTCAGTCTTGCACTTGCATTTCCTGCGGTGATCTCGCCGTGACCTTTGACAGGCTCCACACAGTTAATTAAGTTTGGCTCTAAGTTGCTTTGGTTATAGCAGGGTTTTCATTTTGCCTACTCCCTTTCCCCCTCCACTGCCGGATACAGCTCTTCAAGGGAGATGAATTCTATCTTCAGGTGAAAGTCCAGAGGTTTTTTTTTTTTTTGACCTAAATTAAACTCCAGATTTGCACTGACATCAGAATTTAGTTCTAGGACTTTCAAGTCCTGCCAAATTCACAGAAATGGAGAGCAGCACGCTTAAAAATCTACCTCCACTCATTAAAGTCTTTTAATTAAACAGCAATTGGACATACATATGTGTTTTTTGAGTTAATATTAATATTTTTAATTATGCAATTAAATGAATTATGAAAATAAATGAGATGCCTGTACTCAGGGAGTCAGCAAAAGCAGGGTCAGAAAGGATTTCTCCTTTTTTTGCCTGCTTAAGAAAAGAGTTGAAATTATATATGTTAATGCTAGAAGGTGGTTCTTGAATTAAAATATCACAGGGCCCTCAAAAGAGAATAAAGGGCTAGGTAAGAATGATTAATGTCCTTTTACACAAAGAATGATACTTTTTATATATCTTTGACCTTCTAAGGTCAAAGGGATTATGGGACTGTTTGAAGTTCAGGAGGAGCTGAGCAAGGAAACAAGGGGGCTTTTCATGGGGTGATGAGAAGCTGTGGCTGACATTTCAAGAGCAGAAAGCCTATTTTTATTAACTCCTTCTTTCTCAGGTAAAAAAATGTTTTTGACAGAAGAAACCAAAACAAGCATACAAAAGTGCAAAAAAAATCCAATTTCCCCTGCAAGCATGCAGACCTAAACTTGAAGTTCAGCAGAACCAGCAGAATCAGTGTGGTCATCCGTGAGGGGGCACAAAAGAAAGACCCGTTGGAGGCAGGTCATTGAAGACAGGGCAGCGTGGCATTATTCGCAGTTCCATTAACATTGCTCACTGCACTTTTGGAAATTTATTAGGACATCTGTTCAGATACTGCATCAGTCATAGTATATTTTTATCTTAGATTTTTTGGTTTAAACTTTTTAAAGAGTATGTCTTATACACTTCTATATGCAACTCAGTTGGTAAGTGAATATCAAGGCAGTTATTTGAGCATGCAAATAATAGCAAATACAACATATGTGAACTGGAAAGAGGAGTACAGCATAAGGACTCTAAGGTAGATTAGGTTATTTATTCTCAGTGACTATTTTACTTGCTGCAAAACACTTTTTGCAAGGGGGCAAGGGAAGGATAAGTTAAATTTAAATAGTTTTGGCAGTGAGATCTCAGAAAGATGAATGACAGGGCAAAATGTTTTATTTGCCATTTTCAGTATTCTTTCCCTTTCTGTTTTCAAAATGGTATTTTTTGCTTTAAAAATTGTCAAATGACTTTAAAGAGTTTTTTGAAGTGTTTAAAATACCACAAAGGAAGCTGAATATTTGACTTTGAGTCAAATGAAAGGTTTTGATCAATCTTATTTTTGTTTTTATAGTATAATTGCATACAGGTATGTGTCTTTTAGCATGAATATTAATATTTTGTAAACATATGAAGTTATATCAAACATAAAGTAAATGATGTGTATCTACTTATTCAGCCACAGTGGTAAAGTGTGAAGAAGAGTATTTTTTTCTTTATCTGTTCTGAAATATACTGAAATTTTGTATTTTAATGCCACAAGACAGTGGTGATGTTGAGTACTAGCAAAACAGGAAAAAATTCTCACTTAGTGTCACCATTATAGTAAGAGTCTATTCCAGTGTCCTTGGTTCAGCTACCAAACTGAAAATTCAGTGAAGATCTTGTATAGAGCACTTGGTTCAGGGATTGCTTCTCCCTTTTCACTTTTTTTCTAAATTTTCTGAAATTTTATAGGCCAAATGAAACACTTTCACTTTTCCAAAATTACTTTTCATCTTCTAGCTCTAGCACAAAGCTGGAATGAAAAAGTCTTCTTTCTTGCTCTCTCCCTTTGCTTACCCTCAAGCTATGAATATTAGTACTTGATTGTTACTAACGCAGCTTGCTCAACTTCCATTAGACTTTCTGAGCATAAACTGAGGTTGTCAACAGAAGTTCTCCATCTGCATACACAAAAACACATATATGAGTACCATTCTCTAAAAAAATGCAGTAAGCTCAAGAATGAACTCTTAAAACTGCATTACTTACTTCCATGCAGAGCAATTGGCTTGGTCTCAGCCTTTTTCCTTGTCTGCATCAGAAAAAAATGGGAAGTTTCCGTGTTCACGAAGATGCCGCCACAGAGAGGTACATTTCTAAAAAATCCATTCAGTCCTAAACCAGGCCTGTCACAGCTTATCCTCAACAGTAGAGTAGTTTGAAGTGTCTGTTTCCTCTTATTCTCCTTTAATACTCTCTCCATAGACACACAAATGTCAAAAGCAATTTCAACATAGCTTATTCAGTCAAAGTTTTAGACCAATACAAAACTATACCTAGAGAATAGGTATCTACCCTATCTACCCCTTCACTGCCCATAGACCACTCTGCCATAGCTCTATTTGTGTTGAGAGAAATGGCGTGTATGGTCCTGATTTCTAGAGTTTTTTGAAAGAAAAGGTGAAATTCATCTTAAAGGCTTCATTCAGCCCACTGTTTACTCTGGACTCGTACTTTAAATTCACACATGTTCAAGGACATTTTTTATTTGGTGGAATATTTGCTGTGTAATACTTGTAGCAAAGGGCAGACTGGTCAAATTCACCTAGTCGTTCTGGTTTGAAGAAAACTTAAAAACAGCAGACACAGGAAAGCATTAGTTGCAGTATTCTTTTAACTAGTATTATAGCAGCCTGAGAACTCAGGTGGATGTGAGAAAACACCAGCTTCTTTCCTCTGCCAGATATGTAACCAATAGCCCTTACCTCCCAGAAGTTCACCCATAATATCAACCCTTTTTGTACTCAGGTCAAGGCATCTGTCTCAATCTGCTCCTTTAACTAGTTTCATTAGTAATTAAAGACCTTAATAAACAACTAAACTGCAGGTTTCCTACTTTTCAGCTGAGCATCCTACCCATCAGGGTAGGGAGTCCCATTCATTTGCTGTAGTCATCTCAGTTTCTAAAAATCCCATACAGGGTAGAAGAGCTTCAACAGAAGTTAATTGAGGGAGCTGCACTAAAACCTGACGGTTTGAACGTTTACTATAGAGATCTGTCTTAAAATTCAGCGCTTTCTGACTTGGGGGCTTGGCAGCAAAGGAAAATTGAGTGGTACGTGTCAGAAGTGGTTAAAGACTACGCTGTGCAAAGAAGGCGTGCGTAAACTCACCCTTCATCTTTTCCAGAACAGGGACTGGAGAGGAGGTGCTGCCTTCTGGTCTACTTTTTGTTAAATATTTTTAAAAATCTTCAAGGGAAATAGATACAGGAGAAGGCGTAGGTAGCCTGCAAGTTGGAACACTCCTCTGGGCTCGTTTCTGTGTTCCAATAAATATTTATACAAAGTTGAAAAGTGACAAAACAGAAAAGTTCTCTGGCAATAGGTTAAAAGTGTCTGACTCCTCCTTTTCATTTTCCAGTTTTGTGAATCTATCCCTTCATTTCCTCTGCTTTTCTTGCAAATGCTTGGAAAGTGACATGTTTCATTTTGGGTTGAACAGAATGTTTCATTCAACATAAAATGTAATTTTGGGAGTTTTCATTCTTCCTTGGGGAGAAAAAAAAAAAAACATAAAAAAAAGTCTAGATTCATTCTAATCCAAACCAAAATCTTGGGGTTTTTTAACCCAGTCACCAGAGAAAAAAAATTATCTCTTCACATAGCCTTAATGATAGATTCAATCAATTGTGATTTGCTAGATCTCACTTGCTCAGCTGCTGTAAGAACTGCAGGCTACAAAAACAAATTGCTGCAACACGAAAAGGTGTGCCAAGCCCGTCTAAGTAGAAGACAATATGATTATTGTAAGACAGGTGAAAAAGGGAAAGGGAAAATGAGAGGAGAGGAGTTTGACCTATGCTATCTGCAACAAGGTAAGTCCCATTGTCAGCCACAGTTATTCTGATTTAGAGAAATGTGAAAAACAAGCAAGTAATGGGCAATTTGGATCTGCTGTTCTTTAACATTAATGAAAAGAATTTATAAGAAAAAATAGTCCAAACTCCTACACTTCAACACTCCCCTGCACACAAAACCAGGTGAGCCTACGCCAGTCCCTCACAACGTGTGTGTTGAGACTTGGCTGATGCTGCATTCCACAAATAATTCCCCTTCTCTGTGCCTGCAAGACATTTCAG